AATCAAACAGGTCTGGTTTGGGTCATTGCTCAAACTGTTAGGTATAATCCTGGACAGTTAACCTCTTATTCTCCAATACTTAATATGTAATATAGAGGTAATAATACCATCTATTCTATAGGATAGTTATGAGTCTTAAATAACAGATTTCAAGATTTAGCATGGAGCTTAGCACAGAGAACAACTAAACAGTATTAACAGTTAGTATTACATTTTATTTTTATTTTTTTGGATCTGTGACTTATAGTGGGTTCTGTCAGTTACAGCAGAGGACCTTATTCTCTGACCAACCCCATTCCTGTCTGTTCCTTTGAAGTTAGAAGTGAGGGAGAAGGTGCCACCAGGTACCTAGGGAACCATTTCTCTTATACCCTCATACAACAAGACTGTCTTATGGAAGCTAAGGGACTTTTCTTTTCTTTTTTTAGGATCTCCCACTGAGTTCAAAGACTTATCCTTCCAAAGAATATGAGTAATAGTCATAGTGTATGATGTCATATTTGCTGTAATGCTTTGTTGTAGTGGCTGAAATATTCACAACCTCTGTTATTGCTTAGATCTTAAAAGAATTACAAGGGAACTCAAATTCCACTCTTCAGTAAAATGCAGAACTAGGATTAATCCCATTGGGCAGTAAAAAATGGAAAAGCTTGAAAAATACATCTATCTTTAGATCATTAAGCTTGCAAAGTTAATCCAGATTCTTTGATTTGACTAGGACCCTATCTTGATGAGATATTTTTAAAGTAAACTAAATCAGCAACATTTTAATCTATGTGTATTTCTAGTCATGGATTTTAAAAATCATGTTCGAGTACAATAATAAATGATAGTATTGCCTCAAATCCAAAATGCATTTTTTGTTTTTCATTTTTCCATTCTGGAAATTGAGATATCTTATGATCAATGTTTAAAGTTATGTTGTGGTGGGTTTTTTTTTCCCCATGAAAAACTGACCTTAAACGAATCCTGTATCTTGCAACTGATGGAATCTTAGACTTATGAAAATATGGAATTAGAAAATCATCTTGCTTTGTGTTGATGTTACCTAAGGTGATTACTCTTATTTGTGTTAACTTAATGATGGTAAAAGAAACAAGTTTAATATATAAAGAAAATAATCCAAAGGCTTTATTAATATTTTTGATACATATGTACATGTAGATCAAACAGCCATCACTCTAGTTAATAGCTGGACTTTTTTTATGCTTCCACATTACTTTAAAAGTCCCAAAGATTTCTTCAAATATGATAGGAGATATCATATTGGTAACAGCAAGATTCCAAGAAGAGAAAAGCCTCCCTGACCAGTTTCCAAAAACTCCTTCCCTCACTCTCAGGGCACCGCCTTCATTTGAGGGTCTTGAAAGTTACAGTGGAAGCCATACCTGCCACTATCATGTGCTACCACATACCGTTCAAAACCTGACTCATGTATAGCACAGTGCTGGGTACATAGCAGTTATTCAATAAATATCTCCTGGCTCATTGATGTGAAATACAAGTGTTCTGATTAGGCATACATATAGCTTTTAACATTGGGGAAAGCCAAATTTCTAAAAATGTTCCCCTTCCCACCTTTTTCTTACAAAAAATCCTGAGTTAATTTTGAGACTAATTTTTACACAAATAAAAGCCACCAATAAATCAAATCCTAAATGTTCTTTTTTCCTTGGATTATAAAAACATTTTTTGTTTCCATTTTGGTAGCAAACATGAAAATCACCACACCTAAAGGTAGAACACCACTTTCAAAAAACATTTGATCATCCCAGCTGGTGTGTCTCAGTGCTTGAACGTCCTCCGTTGGACTGAGAGGTCCCAGTTCAATTCCAGGTCAGGGCACATGCCCGAGTTGCAGGTTTGATCCCCAGTGGAGGGCATGCAGGAGGTAGCTGATGGATGTTTCTCACATTGATGTTTCTATCTCTCCCTTTCTCTTTCTCTAAGAAATCAATAAAAACATATTTAAAACAAAAACAAAACAAAACCATTTGATCAGAGATGGAAAACTCAATGGCAAAGTTAATAGAATAGTGAAATGTGATGTTAAAAGCTAATCATGTGCCCTGGCCGGTTTGGCTCAGCATTTATAGTGTCAGCCTGAGGACCAAAGAGTCCCGGGTTTGATTCCAGGCAAGGGCATGTACCTTGGTTGCAGTTCGTCCCTGGCCCTGGTTGAGGTCATGCAGGTGGCAACCAATCTCTCACATTGATGTTTCTCTCCCCACCCCACCCCCACTCTGTCTGAACATAAATGTAAAAATATTCTTGAATGAGGATTAAAAATAAATAAAACCTGATGATGTGAAATGTGAAACAGTGATCAAGAAGCGATCAATAAATGACTGAAATTACTGACAAAGATTTTCTTTAGGAACACTGATAACCCTTAACAACTAGGTGGTAAGTTGGTTTGTAAATATTTCAGTCAATTAAACTGAAAAATAATAACCCATATGCAACTGGAAAGAAAAAAATGTAAGGAAAAAAAGAGGAAGAGAAAGGGAAGAAAGGAGGAAGGGGAATTTATCTTAAAATATTTTATCCAAATTTTAAAAAATTCCTGATCTCCAAAACACATTACATTCCAAAATAGGAGAATTTTTTAAATGCTGACATTACAATGGGCACAGAATCAACTATTAGATACTAAGTAAAAATTATTTCTATGTCAGCTGTCCACAAATTGTGATTAAAAAGCAAACTTTAAATAGTACCGAATCTATTTTCTTGTTTGCTACCTAATCCCATAACAGAAAATTTAATCATCACAGTTTACAGACAGGAGGAACATGGTAATCTGTATTTGTTCCTTTTTTTACCCAATTTCAGACAAAATAAATTAGATAAAATATATGCTTGATTTTAAAAACTAAAATAATATAAGAAGCCTCAGTTTTTCCTTTAGTTTTGAGCATAAGTGAAATACATAAAAAAAAAAAAAATTCTTTTTCATATGCTTGACCCAACAGCTTTAGGAACTCTGAAATAGTCTCTTTCAGGCAGGCTTCATCGAAGGAGGGGTATCTACATAATTCCTGTGGCTTCAAAATAAATTTTCATTGAGGTAGATATAGAGGATTCATCATCAGGGGGCATATATGTCTGTCATGTATGCATGTGATTTTTAAAAACACTACAAATGTTTTTGAGTTACAAAATATATGACACATTCTAGCTTATTATCTTATGTTTGGTATACTATTATTTAGAGTTCTTGTATTTGCACTTTTTTAAGAACCATAGTTAAGAATAAAAGGCAGAGCCCTGGCCGGTTTGGCTCAGCAGTTAGAGCGTCGGCCTGCGGTCCAGAAAGACCCGGGTTTGGTTCCCGCTAAGGGCACATACCTCGGTTGCAGTTTGTCCCCGGCCCTGGCTGGGTCGTGCGAATGGCAACCACTCGATGTGTCCCTTTCACGTTGATGTTTCTCTCTCATTCTCCCTCCCACTCTATCTGAGCAAAATATCAAAAAAAAAAAAAAAAAAAAGAATAAAAGGCAGAGGACAATGATCACTTCCTGCCTCCAAATAATGTCATATGCACCTATGCTTAATTGATTTACAAGCTCAGATAAATGCTATTTTCAAGCAAGCTGTGAATTACATCAAATGACCTTGAAAGAGAAAAAGAAAAGCCATGGCTTAATTTGTTAGTGAAGGAAGGCCTTGCTTGAAATTCATTATCAACTTTCCATTTTGCAAAGCAATTCATCCACATAAAAGTAGTCAAAAAGGACTTCATTTAATTAGTGATATGTAGACTTTTGCATAGAAAAAGGTTACAAAGTAATGCAAAAAACACTAGGTACAGTAATTTTAAAACAAATATTTAAAAGTATAGTTTTGCATAATGTTTAACATTCTTTTTTATTGCTTTCTCCACACAGCAGAGAAATGAAGTGCATAATAATACATGCTGTGTCTTTATCTTTCAAACATAAAATCTCATGTGCTCAATTTCAATGTATTCAGAGATTATTTTGTCATTAAACAAATTAAAAAACAAAACAAATACACCATTATGTAGCACTAGTCTAGGCATGGACAAACTAATTTATGTACATCCCACTGCATACATTCATCTTGATTTGGGATCAAACACAATCTTGATCTTGACAAAGAACATTTAAAAATTGTGGCTTTTCTCTTCTCAATCCTATCTTCCTGTCTCATCACCTCCAGAAATGCTACTTCTCCCAAAAGGATGACACGAATAGAGTACACATCATCAGGACAAAATGAAGAGGAAAAATATGTGAAAATAGTCCAAATGAAACTGAATAAATTATTCTAAGCTTTTACAAACTGGAGTTTTCAAGTTGGCATGAATCAAATAGCCTCTGGTGGGCATATCATAGGCAAGTGCTCCTAGGTGTACTCTATAAATGCATGGTTTATATAAGAAGCACCATATTTTGAGTCATGAAAGAAAAAGGTGCCTGGGAGTTTGCAGGCAGGGCAGAATGCTTGTTAATCTGAGCACTGATGGAGTAATTGCTTAAACCAATGCATTGTTGAATGTCACCACTTGGCAAGTCTGTACAAAGAAAGCAAACTAAGATAAAACTAGGTCTTTCACCTTGAAAATTATTTTCAGCACTCCTTTTGGCCAATAAAAATCTGTTGGTTTCAACAGAGTACTCTCCTCTGGTATTGCATGTCTGCAACCTAACACAAGACTTCTGCCCCTTCCTTTCTTAACCTAACTTCTGTGCTCTTGTGCAATGTTATATGTTCTGAAAAAAACTTCACTAGCTCAGGCACTTATGAAACACGAATATTTTTTTCCTTCTAGTTTCAAGAGAATTCAGTCAGGGCATTTTTCTTCTCCAATTAAGATACACCGATGCAAGGCTGAACTGTAAGTACAGTCTGTATACTTTCCAGGAAAATTCTAAATGGAAGCTAGTGTGAAGTTTTCAAAAGCTGCTGATGTCTGTTACCAAGCTGCCTCAAACAACAACAACACAGATAATACCACATTTCCACTTGTGAGGTTTGTGTCTCAAATAGCTTTATTGTTCCTTTGTGGATCTGTAGACATCTGTATGGCTAACTTCAGGGTGCAAAGGTTTTATGCTGATTCTGAAATGAAGGACATTCAGTTACTATCGCCAAGAAGTTCAATGGAAACTTAAAAAGCGCCCACTTCTGTCCCCCAGGGTCGGTAAGGTTTACTGTTTGTTCCACTGCCGGTCTGCTGGGGACTGGACGCGGCGGATACCGACAAGGGCGGGCTGATGGCTGTGGCGGCTGCCACCGCAGCAGCTGCGTTGGGGGGGAGCATGGGGAAGGCCCCCGCAAAAGACAGAGGGAAGCTGTGCGCTGCCGCGGTGGCTGCCGCAGCGGCCGCATGGACAGTGGCCGAGAGGGACAAGAGAGAAGTGGAGAGGGGTGGCACGCACGGGGCGACACTGCCCGTCGACGGCATCCGAAGGGCGGAATCTGCGTGGGCAAACGTGGCCGTGAGGAGAGCAGAGCCATGGGCAGGAGGCACTTCCGAAGTTGTGGAGAGGCGACAAGGTGTTGACTCCGAGGCATGGAGTCCGTTGGGTTGGAGCAGGGCTGCGGGGAGGTGGTGGAAGGCTGCAGCCCAGTGGTGCGGGTGTAGGGGGTGGTGGTGGTGAGCCAGAGAGGACGTCATTGCCGCTGCTTCCCGCTGCGAGGCGCACGTGCTGAGATGAGAGACCAGCCGCACCCGCAGTGGATCGGAGGAGTCCAGGCCTTCCACGGAGCTCAGGTACCGCGCCACTTCCGTTAGGCACTCTCGGAACCCAATGCTCATGAAGTCCATGGCAAGAGCATGTGCATCAAAGTAGCCTAATAGGAGGTGTGAACAAAGTGGGGGCCAGGAGAGGGAGAGGAGAAAATGATCCAGTTACCAAGAGTCCTACCAACTATGTTCCACTCTGTCCTTCCGAAGGTTTATGCAGAATGATGATCCTTTCTGAAAAAGCTGCTATTTATGGTTGTAATTTTTGCAGAAGTTACAAAAATGTACTTTGAAATTCACATGTGTGACAGTTCTGGCAATGCTCAGTTGTCTGGAAACCAAATATCACGGTGGGGTAAAAATTCAGAACATGCGCCCTGGCCGGTTTGGCTCAGCGGTTAGAGCATCGGCCTGCGGTCCGAGAGACCTGGGTTTGGTTCCGCTAAGGGCACGTGCCTCAGTTGCAGTTTGTCTGCCACTCCATGTGTCCCTTTCACATCGATGTTTTTTTTTCTCCCTCTCTCTCCCCCACTCTACCTGAACAAAAAAATGGAAAAAATGTTCTCAGGTGAGGATTAAAAAAAAAAAAAAAATTAAGAACATGCATGCTTCAAATACTTCCAGGAAAAAAAAATGGTGTTGTATTGTGGAATAGTGAAATTCCCTAGTCAACTTTTTCACGGTAATAGAGTTCCAGTCTCTCTGTCTCTGAGTTGTAGATTACAGGGCTTTTCTGAAACATCCTCACTCTCTCAGAAATGAAAAATGCATTCTAACAGCTTGGGGACTTTCTAATAAAGGACTTTTCTTGTACCATCACTTACTATATTTTAAATTCAAAAACTGTGCCCTGGCTGGTTTGGTTCAGCAGATAGACCATCGGCCTGTGGACCAGAGTCCTGGGCTCATTTCTGACCAAGGGCACGTACTTCAGTTGCTCCCATGCGGGTGGCAACCAATTGATGTGTCTCTCTCTCAATGATGTTTCTCTCTCTCTCTCTCCCTCCCACTCTGTCTGAAGATAAATGTAAAAATACCCTTGGGTGAGGATTAAAAAAAAGAAAAAGAAAAAAAAAATTACAAAAACTGCTTTTTGACTCTCAGTGGCTTTTTTACTTTTTATTTTTATTTTATTTTTTTGGTACATGCCCCTAGCAGGAACCAAACCTGGGACTCTCTGGTCCGCAGGCCAATGCTTCAACTGCTGAGCCAAACCGGCCAGGGCTCTCAGCGGCTTTTTAAAATCAACAAAGTGAAAATATTTTGCCATTACTTTGTATGAAAAAATTCAATGAAAACAAAATGATTTAAAATAGTTTTGGTTACTAATTTGAAGATCTTATTTTTTCTATCAGGAAATATAAGACTGTTTTACTGATATAAGGTTACTATAACTCCTAGTTTTCCTTATGTTCAAATATATACTTCCTTCATTGGTTAGCTTACTTTTTCCTGGCATCCACCCAAGAAAAAACAGTGTTAATTGTGTCAGTGTATATGCGTTCAACCCCATGCTTAAGGTTACTACCATAAAAGTGGCTGGAGCTGGGTTACATTTATGAGAATCCCTTTTTATCCGAAGATAATACATTATAATAGAAAACAGTAATGTCTGATTATTATGTGTCAATTTAGAGTACAATGATCAGACATTTGGGGAAATGTCACCACTTGGAATGAGTGACCTCTAATATGTACAAATATATCCTTTTTAGATTCTTTCTCATTTGTAACTTTTCAAAAAAGCAATTTTCAAATTTAAAATTTAGTCTACCCACTTTTGAGATGTATATATACATAAATAAAAAATATCATATTCAAACAAGGTTATTTTCATCTAAGGCATTTACTATATTATCTTTTTTTTTATGTTTCTGCAGTTCAAAGTATTAACTTTCATTTATCATCTACTAGTAATTAGAATATCTTATTCTGCGCTTTGGAAAATAGTAGTCACAATGTTCAAAAGTTAGCAACAATGTCCCTGGGATTAGAAGAAAAAGTTCTGACTAAAGAAGCCGCCTCTGGGGAGAGATTTCACATGAGCATCCTCAGGGTTCTCTGTGGGGCTCTGCAGACTCTGACTTCCACGAGAGAAGAGGAGGGAGGTAATCATCAGTGTCGACAGAGTTCAGAAACCCAGCGAGATTTAGGAATTTAGGCTACTCTACTAAATCCTCACTAGAAACCATTGTAATATCAAGGTAGACTGTAAAAAATGAACCAACAGAATGGTCACCCTAGGAGCATCCAAGAATTTACATGAACAAGCATGAAAAAATTGAAATTTGTGGTTTGCCAACTATATGTTATTGTATATCACTGAGTTCTCTATTGCATCTTAAGGAATATAAATTATGTTAATTCCTATCCTGTTTTTGAATATAGAGGGAGATGATGATGAGAAGCTGTCTCCTGAAAGTGAATCTTGGGCCAAAAATAAGAGAACACAGTTCCATACCACATTGCCTATGTCACCACTGTTCTACGGCTTTAAGTGAATAAACTCATAACAACCTTGTGAGTTGCGCACTAGCACTGTTCTCAGTTTACAGATGAGGAAACAGGCTCAGAGAGGGTTAGTAATTTACCCAGCATCACAGAGCAACTATATGGCAGTGCCAGGATTTAAAACCGGGCAACCCAACTGCAGAGTCCATGCTCTTCACCAGCACACTATGAGGCTCTTATAGCAGTTGTGAGTCTTGGATGAGGTGAGCCCACACTGCCAGCACCCCTTCTTCAAGGCCCACATATTCTCCTACTTGATGACCTGTTTAATGACCTGGCAGTCAGGCCACTTATATGTGCCTGCTTGGAAATGTATGTTCATAAACTATTCTGGGATAAATTTTAGGACTATTCAGGTAGCCAAGAATAGCAACCAAGATTGAACTTAGTTTTTATAATAAAGCATAAGAACAATAGTACTCTTTACAAGTAGAGCTCAGGCCAAATATTTGAAACCTTGATAAGAATTCTTAGTCTTGTGATTAAAGATGCAAAGGAAGGCAGAGCAGAGCAATGAAACAACTTTTCCTGCTCTGTCACTATCTCAGTTGGTGCAGAGACGGAATCATGTGGGGCTGGAGGAAACTGAGAGCTCAGAGCACTTGTGTGGGCTACACGGTGCAGCAGTGCAATTTTCTGCCTCTGGTCACAGGCGAGGCAGTGGCCAAGCTGGATCCGTGGCTTTTAAGATTTTATCCAGTTCTCATCTCTATTATGTGAGAATGTTTGCATCCTTCCCTAGGGTTACCTTTTAATGAACAGAAATAAAACACCCATGCTCATTCGTCCAGGGTGATTCCTTGAGAAGGTGCAACCAAGGGTAAGTCATACCACGTGAACTTTCCTTTATAACAATCAGTCCCACCTGACACACACATATCCAAACATAAACTGGAGGTTAGAGGCAATCATTTTCTCTTTTTCTTCTTTCCCTTCCCCCAAGACTCCATTAAATCAGAGCTAGGACTCAATATGATACAGCTATTCCAAAGGAAGTGACTCCAGAATCAGTCTCATTATTGTTTTCAGATTTTGGCTGGTTTGGGATTTAGAAGTGACGGTCAGGGCTATGTCCCACAGGTCCTCAGCAGGATGGCCATAGTGGAGTTCAATACTGAATTACCTCTATACCATAGGTAAACAGCTACTTGCCTCCAATGCCCTGTTTCTGCCCTGATCTAGGGCAAACTATGACACCACGTAGTAAAAGGCTGTTGGCAAGCTCAGAGAAGCCTCCAGAGTACAGGTGCAGCAGCACCTAGCCCCTTGGAGTATTCTGTCCTTACCCAGTTGTCAAATATGTTAAAATAACACCCTTTGCTAAGATGAAGAGCAGAGGCTTGTTTAATAGGTGAAAAAAAATACAAAGCACAAAATCCAGTCTAAGTAAGAACTGGGATGATGAAATCTGAATGAATATCACAGGTTTCCCAATCTCATGTCTACTTTTAGCATGAGGTGAGGGTCTGTCCCTGATCCTCTAAACAATTCTTCCCAAAATCACTCTGGAACACAGAAGACATCTCTCCAGGGCACTGGGCCCAGGACACCTGCTCTTGTTTGTTCTCGGCAGGAATGACTGCTCCATTAACAGTTTCCAGTAGAGATTCACTACCTTTACATCAAATGCTCTGTCTGGTATGAATCCAAGACCAACCAAAATCTGAAAACAACAATGAAAGTCATTCTAGAGTCACTTCTGTTGGAATAGCAGCAGTGCACTGAGTTCTAGCTCTGATTTAATAGGTGGTTTGGAGAAAAGGAAAGAAGAAAAAGAGAAAAGATTGCCTTCAATCCCCTGTTTATGTTTGGATGTTTGGATGTTTGTTCTGTCTTTCTGTACAGATTTCAGCATGCGCTTCTGAAGACCCAAACAAATCTCTGACCAGGCTGCTATAAATGAAGCTTTACTCCCACAGTATTATGAAAGCAAACACAAGCCCAGGGTCAAGTGCTTCTTTTGTTCCAGAAGTTCTTTCCCACGAGTTCAATCCTGCCGTTAGCATTGATTTCCACAGCTTTAATCTGGGACCTCCTATCTCAGCTTATTAAAGAACTGTTCAGCTATAACTTCCTTATAATCTTAGAAGAGAAAATGAAAAAAAAAAAGGTGGAAATGGAGGAGGGGGAGGTCACCTACTTACCTTTACCCCCGGTTGCCTGAAGCATCTTCAAATGATCCACTGTCATTTGTAATATTTCGGCTTTTTCTAACTTTGCAGATCCCTGCATAGACAAATAATAAAGTTTTGTAAGTCCTATCGAAATTAATTTGGAACATTTTACACTGGGTTTTCAATTTTGCTGTGTACTGGAAAATTCTAAGTTTAATTTTTTCACAGAAAAATCTGAACTCCTTCCAAACTTTAAATGAAAACACTAATTACTATGTCACACTTAATGACAGATATTTGCCATTTCAACTTTTAAAGATTAAAAGGCATAATAAATATTTTTATCATGAGAATAACTATACTGCCAATATCACTCCACCAAAATCATTACAATTGTGAAAATCTCAAACTTTTCATCCAATCAGTACCTTGGTTAACAGTATACTTAATTTTATTGTCCAATTGTATAGAACATCCAATAGTCCTACATAATGCTGAAGTCTAGATCACTTGACTACAGCTCTGGAGTATAAGAAAATAGTATCTTAAATTATTATTGAACCTTGACATGAGACTTTGAATAATTAGTTGGGTCTTCTTGGTATTTTTTTTTATCACATCAAACATTGTTGGTATTAAAGAAGGCACATGGTAGGATAATTTGCAATCTTTAGCTCTCTGAAAGTGCCAACCACATTTTAGAAGATTTACAGTTTCCAAATATTTAACATTCTTGGTTATACAATGGACATTCTTGGTCTTATAATGTTTTTCAATGTATTAAAATAAAACATGTTGTCTTTCTAGCAAAAAAATAAAAATACAAATGCAAATAAATCTTTAAGGTAATTCTTACTAGACCATGGGTAAGAAGAACAAAAAATAAAAAAGAGAAGAATTTCAATATTTTTTCCAATAATTACCAGCAGGTGTCACTGTGAATTTCAAGATCATAAATAAGAAAACATAATTTACTAATTACCTAGCAAGCATCAGGAAAATGTAAGGATATTAAAACCCTTTAAAATAGTTCTTAATAAAATGATCTTGGAGATTTTTTTTTCCCCTTTATTGATTTTAGAGAGAGAGAGGAAGTGAGAGGGAGAGCTAGAAACATGGATGAGAGAGAATATCAAATGGCTGCCTCCTGCATGCCCCCCACTGGGGATCGGGCCCACAACCTGGCCATATGTCCTGACCAGGAATCAAACCGGCAACCTCTTGGTACATGGGTCGATGCTAAATTAAGCCACACTGGCTGGACGGAAATGTATTTTTATGTTCCCACTTTTTAAAATAAGGCAATCTCTGGAAACCAGTTGAAAATGTGCCACCTCAAACTGTCTTGGAGTGTTGTGGGTGGCTTCTAATTTCCTGGAAGAGCTAAATAATTAAATCAATATGTTTTTCTGAAAAGGAAATTGAAGTTTATTTCAGGTTCCTATGCGTTACTTGTTTTGTGAAAATTATCAGCTCGATGCCAGTTATTTAAACTGCTTGAAAGAACACCCTTCTAATCATATTGTGACAGGGCCAGCTCACTAAGGGTTGGTAGCCAAGCTCTGCAAATGGGAAAGTCTGTGTTTATGGTAACTAACTGCCAAACAACTGAGGTTTGCTTTTAAGGTTTAAGTTGACATTTTAGAAAAAAAAAATCTAACATGCCAAAAAAACAAAAAAACCCACACCAAACTGATGGTTCCTCATAACTATAGACATTTCAGTACTCAAAGCAAAAATATCGCTGAACGCTGACATTTCCATTTTCAGCCTACTGCTATTAATCAAAACTACAATTTCCACATTACATTTACCTAATCAAAGACAGTTTCAGCATACAGAATGGGTGCGTGTTTCTCTCAAAAATGTATAATCAATAGCATATTACAGCTTGTACTCTGTCAGTGTTCAATTTTTCCATGAAGATGTACAGTAGTTTCAGCGAAAGTGACTAATAAAAAAACTGCAGTTTCTGGATAATTTCCAAGGGCTTTGTAGTTTGTGTGGTTCATGAAATAAACCAAAAAAATGAAGTAAACAAACAACTGCTGTCTTATACTCTATTGGAATTAAATTGAAAGTATTTTCAACAAGGGTATGATGCCACATTCTTTGAAAGACGCTCTTAGAAATCTCTGCCATTAGCCATGGTGCCAGGAAGAGAGAAAACTTTTCCAAAATGACAAAGAAAGATTTACATATTTGGCTTCCTACTCTTTTAAGTGTGCAAAATCTTTTTTTTCTTTCTTTGGTAAAGGAATACTTGATTTCTGAAAAGGGCATATGGCTACTTTGATTTTTACCAAACTTCCAAAAGGATGCTCCAAATAGAACATTATTCTGTTAACCCAGGGATTAAAAATCAAACCATGTAGGTTGATATATTTTATTGGTCTTATTGTTTAGAAAATGGAGCTAGAGATGTTACTTTATGGGCTTTGATCATTTTTAAATAAAAAGCTAACTTTTTAAAAATGTTTGAGACAAAATTGAAATTTCACATATATCTTTTGTTGTGTGAAGAATACAACATACATCTTAGCTTTAAACAAATTCACTACTGGTCTTCATAGAAAGAACAGAGAGAGCATGAACACTGTTACCCTTAAGGGGAAAATAAGCTCAAGAATGGAAATGTTTTTCAACTTCACGATGGATTGTGTTTTTAATAGTTTTGCCACAACAAAGCATTTTATTGAAATCACTGCTCTGTGCCAGATCAGGGCACATACACCATTATTTTAATGAGCTTTAACATGAACCCACATTCCCAGATGAGAGAATCACATTTTTTTTTAGCTTCTTGGTTGGGGTGGTCAGGGGTGAGGGTTACTTACTTGTTTTTCAAAAGCAGTTGGCACCAGTCGTCTCAACTCGGATAAACTGTTATTTATCCGATCTCGACGTCTTTTCTCTATGATCTGTCCCAAAGAAAGCAAAACAACAAAAGTTTATGAATACACAAATAATAAAATCACTCATAATGGAAAAACACAACTGTTGCACATTAGGCTGGATACCATGAAATAAAAAATAAAAAAATCACATACCCCTCTCCTTTTCTTTCTTGCCATAATCTGAGATGTTGTTGTAGGAGAATTCGATCTAATCACAGAGCTAGAACTTTGCCTAAGAAACAGGAAGAGTATGTCAGGTGCTACATTAACATTACAATTGTTTTTCTGAGTACTTGATGCCACCCATTAAATATTGAGAGTGATTGCGCAGTTTAGGTCTGTTATTTTATTCTTATTGCTTGCTTTACTTTTAACATACTTTGCTTTCAGCCTGTGTATCTCTTTTCAGGTAGGGATCATGCCCTTTTTTAAAAAAAAGTTTTAATGAGTAATTTAGATGCCAAATCCACTGGCAAAAACATCCCTAAACTTTTATTAAGTCTCCTAGTAAAATAATTCTGCGCAGTCAGGGTGAGAAATTAGATACTGACACTTCCTAGTACCACTCATAAATGTTTCTTAAAAGTCAACTAATCTCTTATAGCATCCTCCTCCTCTTTCCGGTCAGACATACTGAACAAAGCAAAGCTATTTTAAAATAAAGGCCATATTTAGCACCACTATCAAACAGATATACAATCATCACATGTCAAACTGTTGTATCTAGGTGCAATCTTTAAAATTAACACAAGTTACCTTACTATGTCAATTAATTGTATGTATCTCACAACAGAAAAAATAACCGACAAATTTAATGTTTTGTATACTAATTTTCCAAAAGAATGCCCCAAATTAAATATGTTACTGATAGGACAATTAAAATTAGATCAACTACTAGGTAAATGTTTTATTTTGAAAATGAAACTTGTAGGTGGGTATCTTTGTGCCTTCAACCTAAGCTTAAGCCTCTAGAGCTGCAACTCATCTTGAGTTTCCTAATGAAAAGATATTTTACATCGAAAGTAAAATCAAACAGTTTTTTGCCACTCAGAATTTTTGCCATCCTTGCTAGTTTGTATCTGTTACTCTTCATAATTCATGGATTCTATGCTTCTTTATGTTCTCAGATTCTCCAGGGTTCCTATTATTCTTTTATTTTAGAAATGTTGCACACACCAGGTTCTTATTACCTCATCCTCTCACTTCTGGATCTTATTTCTGAATGAACTGTCTTCCTCATTCCCACCCATTCTCAACTGGTTTCCCGTTTCACAGGACATCTCCAGTTTTTCTGATTTTATTTTTTTAAGATGACACAATGACACTTTAATAATTAGAAGGTACTTTGGAAACCATGTTTCCTGTAAATATCTTTGCTCTAGCTGATATCAGGCTTTGGTTTTATGTATTAGAATAACAGAATTGAAAGAAAAAAATAATAGCATTGAAGTTTTCCAAAACGTAGGAAGATTTTGCTCTTTGAGTGACAGATGCGGATAAATAATTAAGGTGCTTCTGGGGATGCCAATTAGAAGCAATTGTCATTTGACCCTCCTTGGCACTAGAATGCCTTGGTAATCTCCCTCTGTCACTGGAAAGTGGAGGTCTGGCTTCTGTGATCACGACCCCGATCTTTTCCAGACTTAAGAATAAGTAGTCAGAGATGATGCCTGAAACGATCCTTATATCTGTCACTCACTCTCCTGTCAGCCAAGTCACAGACGGTCAACCAGGAAAGCTCATCCTACTTAGCCGTGACATCGCAAATTGCTTTGATTTTTCCAGAAAGCAAGTTATCTTTTTATTCTCTTTAAAAATAAAATATCAATTTGTTTTTCTTTTCTCTTGGCCCATTTTCGACAGTTTCAGTGGCGGAGGTGTCGCCCATCGCTGGGACGTATTTGTCCGTGGGCCCCACGCTGACAGCGGGGCACCCATCCCTCGCCAACTCCTGCACTTTCAGCTGCGTCCCCGTCCTCTGCGCCCCACCCCTAGAGTGAAAACCGACATCCCTCGCCCCACCCAACGCACGCTCCTGAGCGCCCACCACTCAGTTTCTCGGGCAGAACTTTCCCCTCTCCGTTAGGACGCCGCGGAATGGAGCCTTGGGATGTCCAAGGAGCCGCTTCTACACAAAGCTCCCCGACGCTTCGGGTTCCGGGTAGCTCCCGCCGAGCCCGCGCTCACCCGGAGTAATTGTTCTCGCTTCCCACGTCGATAGTCTCGTCCATGTCGCTCTCGGAGGTCGTCTCCTCGCAAGGGCGCTTCATCGCGGCGAAGACGGCGCGGGACGCAGCCCGGCCGGAGACACGGCCGCCGAGCGCGGCGCAGCGACCTCCTTGCCTGCCTCCTCCCTCCCTCCCTCCCTGGGCCCCGGCAGGCGCGGCTCCCGCGGCGGCGCGGTCGGCTCCTCCGGGCTCTTTCCCACGCCGCAGCCCAGCTCTGCAGCAAGAGCCGGCGCCCGCCACGCCACCCCCCCGAGCGGGCGGGGCCAACCCGCACACCTCCCTGGTGCAGGCCCCCGGCTCTCCCGCGGCACCGCCTCTGGGGTTGGCGTGGCCCGCGATTGGCTGGAGCAAAGAGGTGGGACCGGGCCTATCCTAGCCCGCCTCCGGGCTCCCGCTGAGGCGTGGGAACACGGCCTCACACCTGGGGCCCAGGAGCTGCGCGCGGGAGGGGAGAGGCGGAGGCGAGCCTGAGCGCCAGGTTGCCCTCTCTGGCTAGGGAAGCGCGCAGACTTGGGCGCGGGCGCCGCCAGGGCGGACCGGCGCGGGGCGGGCTCTTGGACCTCGGGCTTTGGCCCTCCTCCTCACCCCGCCGTCTGCCGGTAAAGTTTCAGTCCTGGGTTTAAAGAATAACCCCAAGCGCGTGGCTGAGTGTGAGCGAGCGTGTGTGACGCCGGGAGGCGCCGTGGCTTAACCGAGCCACCCCTCTCTGCTGTCCCTTGTTTGGACCAAAACTGCTGACTGGCTGACCCCGGCGGTCACATTTGCCCTCTGAGGTTTTTGAAAACCTTAAATCAAAGTTACTATTCTCCCAGGCAACTCCCAAGGCTACTTCCGCGGCCTCTGGGCTTGAACAGATAAGGACGTGAGTTTCCCCGACCAGGTACCTAACCGCTGGCGGTCGGAGGGTCTGAGGTTGGCCCCTACACGATTTTCGATTTGCTCTAAACCAGATATTTCCATTTGGCCACTGGGGTTTTGGATAGTTGATCCCACTAAGTAGACCTTGCCTGGAGTTGTGTCTGCTCTGGTAGCCGGAAGGACTAGGGCAATAATGCGGGTATTTCAGGACACAATTTTAGTAGTTTTCCAAGTTCGACTTTTTCGCGTTTGGGTTATCCAGATAATTGCAATTCCCCACTCCTCCTGGTGTGTGCAGTCGCAGCGGTAGACTTAGAATACCGGACGTGAAAAATCGCTCTGGAAATTGAATTTGTTTTCGAAAGTTCGAGTTCGTGTCCAGTTGTTAGTGCATTGGATACCGCGGGTTGTAAAAACTCTAGATGTTCTTTCAAAACATGTTTTCAAGCTTCCTTTTTTCATGCTCTGATTTTTGAACCGGCTACACCGATGTGCCTCGGTGAGGGCAGCCGTGGTCGGTTTGCCCGCCCGGGAGCCGTGGTACCGGGAGGCGTGCAAGCGGGTCGGTGGGGGTCCAGCAGGAGACTACTCGTTGCGCCGGGACCGCTCCGTGCTTGGAGGAGAAAAGCCTCCGAGAGAGAGGCATCTATCAATCACCACCACCCATTGCCATGGACCGATTCAGATTTTTCTAGGGATCTGCTGAGGGCGTCCCTTTGACAATCTATTCCCTCCCCACACAAGACCAGCGCGAGCCGGGAGGAGAAGAGGAAAACATGCGACGTGAAAGATTGGGCCCGGCGGGGGCTGGGCAGTGGGAGAGCGGGAAGGACTTGCAGCGTGCGTGTTAAGCTCTCTTTAAAACACAAAACCCCTTCCCCACACCCCTTCTTTTTTGTATGGTCCCCATCGGGGGCCCTGCAATAACCGTGTGAACAGAAACCCGAAACGTTCCATCCTGACTTCTGAAACTTAACTCCCGGCAAAGCACCGAGTCGGCGGGGGCCGGGCGAGGCCTGGCAGGGCTGTACCAGGTCAGCTCAGGACGGTGGGGGCGCCAGGGGCGGTGACCACCTCCCTCACAGCTCGGCTGTCGGCCTCAGGGCGGGTCCCGGGCCGGCGCGGACCTCCAGGCCTCTGCACAACTGCAGCACCCGCGTCTGAAACGCGCTGCGCGGAGCTGAGCTGGCCCGCAACTCACCGGCTCTGACCTTTCATGACGCCCGCTGGTTCCCTGTCCCCGCAACATACTGAGTGAAGAGTGGGGCGCTTGCGGATCAGCAGACCCATCTCGCTGGAGGATGCGCCAATGGTCAGTTTGCACAGGCCACAGGGGAGCGCGCCACACACAGCCTGCCTGGCGTGAACTCGACCTTCACAACTTTAAGCGAGGGCTGTACGTTTTTCTGAAAGCGAATGTCTACAGGTGCAATTAACGTTTGCCACGCGAGCAAATTAGCGGGCGCTTCCAAATGCCAGGGTCAAAACCTGAGATCGTCGTTGAAAAAAAAATTAAGGGTTTTTTGGTCAGTTTTCCCCATCATAATGGCGTATTTGATTGCAAAAATTACGAAAAATTGCAAATAGGGAAAAGGTTTGCTTGCAATAAAGTAGCAACTGGGTCTACTTTTCCCATATTTTTCTTGGTAGTCTTAACCGCTGTATCGCGTGATAAAGAAAAATATATAACAGGCACGTTCGAGAAGTACGCGTGGATTTTAATGTCACTTAAAAATATTTTATAAGCAAAGGGGATCATATTCTACAAGTGGTTACAACAGTGCCTGGTACATGGTAAGCGGTATGTAAGTCTGTTAAATAAACGAACAGAGGGCAAAAGACATTGGCGTTCTGAACACCATGAAACGATTAATATGCTCACTTATCTACAAAATACTTAACCGCGATTAGGCAGCACGAGATTAGTCAATTAGGTCTTTTATTCCCCTCAAGTATTCCATTTGCTTATCCCCTGGTTAGGCGCCCTGTCTAGTCTGTCTTCCACTGAAAGCGCCTCTCGGGTCAGAGGGAGGAAACTCTTTAAAATGTCCCAGCATATTTCAAAACGGTCGTGGATTGTAGAGGGCTGAGAGAGGAGGTTGTAGGGGTGGTGTAAACGGACAGAAAGAATAGAGAAGATGGGAGAACTGCCGGATTTCAAGCCTCATCGCCCCTCTGCGACATCCTTTTCAGCGCAAGTTGGTTGAAGGCTTCCCAAGAGCCCGGGCAGAAGAAAAGATGTCCGCGCACAGAGCAAACCCAGTTCTTTCCTTTTCAAAGATTTGTACAATGAGATAATTAGACCGAAAGATACGAGGGTCTTTTCTAGAAACGAAATGCCATTGAAAGAAAGCCCAGGATTACGGATCTAAAGGGAATGGAGGAGGGGGGAATCGGCTGCCTTCCCGAAATTGGTCATCTCGCCGGTGTTTTGTGCTTATGCGATTTAACCTCAAAGGCTTGAGATGTGGAATGACGAGATCTGGAAACATCTGACTCTCAATGGCCCTGATCCTCCTCCTCAACTGTTCCCCTACCCATTTAATACTATAAAGTTACAGTTTTTGTACCTGTATTGATAAGTTTGGTGATCTTGACCTAGGCTTATCTTGTCCCACAAATTTGATGTGATCACTCCAGTTCTAAAATTGTCTTTGCAGCGTTTTGGGAACGAACGTGGGGTCTTCTTTTTTTAATTTTTTTTTTAATTCTACTTGATATGCTATTTTCTTCATTAGAACACTCTGATTTTTCTAGATCAATCACTGCATTTCATTTGTGGCTTCTCTATATCCTTTGAGGTGCTACTCAAAATTACTTAAAAAGTTTCTGGTCACTCCAGTGTTTGGGTTCTCTTAGAAAATCACTAAGGCATGACACCACTTTAAAAAATGTCTTAACTTAGTTTCTCAGTGAAACACAGGCAGCTCTGTTATTTTAAGAACTTTGTTAGTCTGATAAGCCTAAGTGTACATTCTTCAAATTAAGTCCAATATTGTGCCCTATCTGAAATATTATAATTGTTACACAGTTTCTTGTGCAAAGGGAAGACAAACAGGTTGCCCTGAGACGTGCTGGTTTATTTTCAATTTCTGGGGCAGGTGATACACACCATGCATCTGCGGGTAGCCTTGTTGGGCCACCTTCCCTAACTACTAGGCTATTGTGATCTGGCAACACTTTCAGATCTGTACTCTGAGAGTGGAGGCCAGGGGCAAAGTCCTTGTAAATTTCAATAACTTGCTCAGCATCAGGCTGGCATCAGGCAGACCAACCTAAGGTCACTGTGTGACACAAATGTCCAAGCTAGTAAAGCAAAACAAAGCTGAAAGTAAGGGCATATTTAGGCCCACTAACCTTGAAGTCATCTATGAAAGGGAACTGTCTTACCAGATAATAATTATTCTTGCCTTGTCAGCCACGCAAAGTGCATCATATTTCTTGGCTTGCTCCAATAGGTGTTGCTTATTTGTTACATCAAAAGTCCCAAGGTAGGAAATCTAAGTCTCAAAGTTCCATTTCTAGAAAGTTAAAATGTTTAAATTAGTTTCTGTTATTAAGGGGCAATTTATTTAAAAGCTTTTATTTCATGAATGGTGTTATTAGTGCTTAGCACATGTCCAAGGATGAAGACTGTTTTTATTGCAGGAACTTGAGAAGAAGATTGTGTACTTAAGTAACCAGTTTTCCTATAAGCAACAGTCAAAACACTCACTATTTTAACTTCCTCTTTGTGAGGGTTAAATTGATGTTGGCAGGCTTGCAGGGGTGGGGAACATCAGGCCCAGTGGGCCATATAAGGCCCGAGAAATCAATACCAGCCAACATCACACACGTCATCGAATTAGCCTGACCAAATATGGCAAGCTAATTTTTAAGTTGATAATTTTGTATGGCCCGAAAATGATGTTATAAATACCCAAATGGCCCTTGGCAGAAAAGAGGTTCCCCACCCATGTAAGGGATTAATTTTTTGTTTCCATTTTCAGGTTGGTTTGACAATTCCTCCCTCCCTCTCTTAAGCATACAATTAGATATATCCACTTCTCTCATGAAAATCATCTTTTAAAATTAACTACATCCCCATCTTCTAGAATGGAATGACACCTAGTAGATGCACAATAAATGGTTTGGAATGAATTTCTTGTTGAAATTAATGAACCTACTATCTTTCCACATATGTAGAATTTAGATACATTGGTAATAAAATGGAAGTAAACAACCATGAACTAAAAAAAAAAAAAAAAAAAAAAATGTAAAAATGAAGAGAATGTGCTTAAATATGAGCAGGAAAGCATTTATTAAGAATGAACCCTTAGGTCAGCCTTGAACTTCCTGGCAGCCA